TCTTGGTCAATTTTCAGAATTATGTAAATGATCTTTGACACGAGCGCAATTTAGCAAACACATGGATTTGTGTTGTTTTCAAGATGTTGGTGGATGAAAATTAGACATATAACCGCGGGTTTGAGGCAATCGGAGACCTTATTGGCGTATAAGCTATGCACTGATACACCTTTTTGGCCCGATTAACCCCTGCACTTTGAGAATTCTTTCGAACATCTCTGTGAATTCTTGATGTGCAAATTATGGTTTAAGAGAAGGGTATCCTCTGATCACGCTGGTATGATGAATATTTCAGGTGAAGTTTCCATATTTTGTCTGTGAACTGACTGAATACATCTTGCAACATGTAGTAAGATAGAATTCCGTGAGCCATATTATTGCGTCGCTGCGCGTTGGAGAAAATCTGTGAAATTTACACTTTCGATCGCTGTCCACACGGGTGGTTTAGCCAAAAATCAGTTTTGGCTTATGACGACGCAAAAACAGAGAATTGAATAACAACTAAACTATTTTTGAGACAAGTGTCCTAAACCCTTTTCATGAGCAAAAAATAAAATAAAACTTTTTTTCCAAGGGGATCACCCCTAGCGAGAGCGGCACTTTAAGGAACTATCTTATTTCAACAAATCTATTTCCAAGTCAGTGTGTCTTGTAATACATAAACTATTGGTTCTTTAAAAGCGAAATCTAAGCATGCTTTGTTTTTGCAGCTCGGTTGGAACAAGTTGGGAGTTATTTCGATCAGCCTTGCTTCATATAAAAATTCAGTTCTTCAAACCTTGACGATAATCTGACCAAGTACAAACCAGTAATGTCTTACCTTTCCGTACAGTAGAACCTCTTTTATAGGACTTCAGAGCCTTGCTTGTTTGTTGCTTGCTATTATTTCCTTCTGCGAGTTCACATACGGTAAATTGATAATTCTCTTTCAAGACAAACAAAGTGACCTAGCTATAGTGTGAAGATGAATCGTCACACCAATTTTAATATGCTGTTTGAACGCAGGAATTTGCCAAGGGCAAAGTCGAAAGCCTTTTCTGGTGGAAAGCAGAAGAATATTAACATTACAATTGTATTCTCTCACTCAGATGTTACCGATTTATTAAGTGCAAACTACAAGTGGATTGTGCGCCTTTGAACGTAGGAATTCGCTAAAGGCAAATTCGAAAGCCTTTTCTGGTGGTTTCTGCTCCGGAAAAAGCAAGAGAATATTAACATTTCAGTTATATTCTCTCAATCAGATAACACGGTAAAATTTCCGCACAGCCCCATCCGACATTATACATTCAGTTCTTGAACAGAGAAAACAATAACAAAAACAATACATTTCCATTGGGAAAACAGACGGAAACTTTACCGATAACACATCTATTAAGTGCATTGCTTCACATTGTCTGTTTGCAAATTGAAAAGTTTATTTTCTATAAATAACTATTCAACTATGTGAATTGTGCGCCTTTGAACTTGGGAATTTGCCAAAGGCAATGTCGGAAGCTCTCATTAGTGATTTCTGCTTGAGAGAAAGTGAGAGAATATTAACATTACAATTGTAACATTTCACTCAGATGTCACATCTATTAAGTGCATTGCTTCACGTTGTCTGTTTGCAAATTGAGAAGTTTATTTTCTGCAAATAACTTTTCAACTAAGTTAATGTTCAACCATGTGAATTGTGCGCCTTTGAACTTGGGAATTCGTCAAAGGCAATGTCGGAAGCCCTCATTGGTGATTTCTGCTTGGGTGAAAGAAAGAGAATATTAACATTACAATAGTATTATTTCACTCAGATAACACATCTATTAAATGCATTCTTTCACATTGTCTGTTTGCAAATTGAGAAGTTTATTTTGTCAAATGACTTTTCAACCAAGTGGATTGTGCACCTTTAAGTCGCCAAAGGTCATGTCGGAAGCCTTTTCTGGTGGTTTCAGCTTGGGAGAAAGCAAGAGAATATTAGCATTACAGTTGTGTTCTTTCACTCAAATGTCACATCTCTTAAGTAAATTGCTACGCATTGTCTGTTTGCATATAACTATTCAACCGTGTAGGTTGTGCGCCTCAACACTCAATATCGAAATATCGATTCTCTACACTCCCTGCCGCACATTTCATATAATTTTGTCTCTAAGAATTTGGACTTTAGTGAAGCGATGAACCTTGTTTGACATTTTCTTTCTTCTTAACACATTCATAATTGAAAATCTGTTGATATTGTATAGAGAATGTCCTTGACGTGGAATAACACCTTTATCGCTTACGATAATATCGCACGGCGCTGTCTTACAACCAATGCTTTTTACAAACGTTACAAACGCGTGCACTAACAAAATAGCGTTTTTTTCTTATTTTGGCAGGGGGCCCGCTATCGATGTAAATCGTGAATTTCTCATCGACAAACTTGAGGACCCGTTCCTGTTAATTCATCATTCTGATTGTAATTGTCTTCAAATATTTCAGCGAGCTAGACTAGAAAAGGTCCTAAGTATTCCCTCTAGCCCATCTGGCTTAGATTTCATGTTACTTGTGCTGTAGTATACCAACTGTCCTTCCATGCTGGAGATTTCTTTATAAAGAATCATATGATAAGCTTCAGTGCGCGTGCATTTTGATTGGTTCTTGACAGACGCACAGATGACGTCACCATTACCAATTTTCATTTCTTCTTCTCTTTACACGTTAAAATGTGGTAAGGATATCAGTGGCTGTGCTTCGAGTGCCACCTTTTTGTTTTTACCACATTTTGACTTCATCTGTGATGTGATGTAATACTAATCATTGTGACTCACTGCAGCATGGAATCTACTGGTTAGATGGAACGTAAAGAATGAACATTTGATTTCCTGTTACCGCTTCTCGGTGGCGGTTATTCTCACTCCTAGTCTCTATTCCTGTTCCCTCCTTTCCTTTTGGATTCCGGATTCCTGTTCCCCGTTCTCCGTTTTCCGTTCTCCGTTTTCCGTTCTCCGTTTTCCGTTCTCCGTTTTCCGTTTTCCGTTCTCCGTTTTCCGTTTTTCGTTTTCCGTTCTCCGTTCTCCGTTCTCCGTTCTCCGTTCCCCGTTCCCCGTTCCCCGTTCCTCGTTCCTCGTTCTATATTTCTTCGTTAATTTGTTTTCAGTCCCTGCCGTTGGTTTACTTTCAAATTCGACTGTAATGCGAATATTTAACCTTAACCTAACCCTAACTAAAGATCATTGGAGTTAAAAGGAACTGCAACCGCTGAGAAAAGGTGAGGGATAGGTTCTTAAGATTCGGCTATATTTGCAATTTTCTGAAAAAATCTAGAGTGGAAGTTCTAATTATCGGAGTTATTTTCGCAAGTCGATTTCGCAAGTCGATTTAATGCAGATTAAGAAAGTATTATTCTGTACGCTCCAGTGCTGGCAAATTTTCAAAACCAAAGAAACATGGAAATGGTTTTGCCATTAAAACCATCTTGCACACTATCAAATCGCCGTAACTTGGACAACTTGGACTCGACGCGATGGCGGTATTTCACAATAAGTTTTACTCGATCATCGATTCAAATACAGCCCTCAGGAGAGTGATGTCCTTTTATGCTTCAAATGATGTTTATTCTCTCTCAAAGGAAATACTAGATAAACCTTTCAAAGTCACGTCCGATCCGAGCTAAACCAGAGACAACATCAATCCTAAGAAAATATGGTTCTAACTACCGGGCATTTTGTCTATTCGAGACGGTGCGTGGTAGCCCGATCAGTAGCGTACAATAGCGTATTTCTATGTGTCGACAACCGAGCGACATCAGAGTATGCAGAAGGTCGGCGAATATGTTTACTGAAAAACCAAGTTAATTTTTAGAATCGCGTGACATTTCTAGCAAAGATCTGATATTCCTCAAAAGTTTGAAGGAACCGTTCAGTGGAAATTCTGAGAAAATTTCTGACAGCCAAGCATTTAATCTATTTTGAGATAGTGCTCGGGGCATTTAGTCACAGCGCTTTGTAAAACGCCGCTCACGCTGTCAATCGTCAATGTTGACACCGATTGTTTGTAATGAGTAGAAATTGCAATTGCTACCGCAAAACATCAGTCGTTAGCGCTTAGTATCGACTTGTCAGTGATTCTAACTTGAACCAGTCTCCCGCTTGTTTAGCTTGTAAGTGGTAAAGTCGAACATCGCTATGATGCAACAACACAAGCGATTGAGGTTCAGCACTTACGTTGACCATTTCTGAACGGAAACTAGATTGATATACGAGTAAGATTTGTTGCTAGCATTAACGATTGAGTTTCATCACAAGCGATTGATAATTTTGTCACAATCCCTATAGAATAACGGCGTGATACGTGACTAAGGGCCTGTTTACATGGAGTTGGAGGACCCCGGGTAGGTGAGGTAACCCGCCTGTCCATATAATTTCCTGTTTTATTTTGATCACGTTTACGTGATAGGTGGGGTGACCCGCCTAGGGTAACCCTGTCATCCGGGGTAACAATTTGCTATGTAAACGTGTCAAAGTGGGGTAACCCGCCTAGCCGGGGTTGCGTTCATGTCAAAAAGCTCAAAAGCGAAACGTGTGTTTTAAAACTTTGTACATTTCCTAGCCGTCTCATGGCAGAAATCACCAGAAACCGCAACGGACACACAAGGAGTGTAAAATGTTCACATTTCGGAATATTTAGCGTTGTAAATCGACCTTATTTGGTTTCCCAAACATCCTGCATAACGTATTAGGCCAACGGTTTCTCGCGAAACCAAACACCGCGTAACGCAACGCGTGACGCTTTCATGAATAAATACATATGTGTCCGAGAATTAATCTTTCGTCTTTTTCGAGATGTGAGCTTAGGACGCCTCTGCTCAGACTCCTTAATTGCATGCGCCACAACACCCCAGCACCCCGGGGTTGTAAGATTGCATGTAAACGCGTTTTATTTTTCGACTGCGGCTAGGCGGGTTACCTTACCTACCTGGGGTCCCCCACCTCCATGTAAACAGGCCCTTACAGTATGTAGATTACTGACTAGAAGAAATTAGTTAACGGCGTAAAATTTAACTGTATGTATTTATTCTTACTGAAAGAAATTACACCGTTAGTTAACTGCGTAAAATATTTCAGTAGGCGTAGCTACAGACTTAAATAAATTATGCCGTTAGTTAACGAAATAAAATCTTATAGCAGGTGTAGCTACAGACTTAAAGAAATTATGCCGTTGGTTAACGGCGTAAAATTTTACTGTATTTATTCACAGCGATTGAGCCAAATTACGGTTGTGGTTTCTGGCGTAAAATCTTTTTTTATGTTTCATCATTACTCAGAAGACTTTATCCTTTGCATGCATTCCTTACTGCTTTTTTCATTTCGCTAAGGAATTTAACTCTTGTACGGGTATCCAATATCTTCGTCAACTGCAACTGTAATATCCGTTGCCTTGTCAGCTTTTGTGTGGCCAATTTACCGGATCAAATCCTTTGTTTGTTCTACATTAGTGGAGGGGTATAGGGGAGCATGCCCCCCCCGCGAACAGGGGGCTGGAGGGGGCAGAACCTTGACGCCATGTTGCATGACGTCATGGTATAGACAAAACTGTCTATGGCACGAACTGACAATAAACCTTGCAGGGGTCTTAAGGTTTGAGGCCTGTTGTTTCCTTCCAAAATGTAAAGGGAATAATTTTTTTTATTGGAGTTATTTTACGATCAACATTTGACCAAATGTGAATCTTTATGTGAATATAACAGCGCGTCTTACTTGGTACGCTCCAGTAGTAGATTATCGAAACCGAGGATAAGGCGTAGGCATGGGTCCCACGAGTATTGTGGTTACAATCCCCTAGAGACAAAGGAATGAGGGGAATAAACTTCATAGCGGAACTCTCGTCCGATCATCGATTCGAATGTGGCGTCAAGGTGATCTTTGCATTCCTATTTTTCCTGTAGTTTTTATTCTCCCTCTAAGAAAATACTACATGCATATCTCCGATTTGAACTTAATCTGGGATGATAATCTTTTCTGGGAAAATATCGAATTCTCTGTTTAATTCTCACGAGAGAGAAAGAGAGTTTTCGCTGTGAGCATGCGCACTGAGTATTTCCAGTTTCACAATTCTAGCCGCCAAATCGCTGCTACTCTGCTCTACTCTAAAGTAATTGATAAGAAGAGGAGCGCGTCGTTGTAAAAGGCAACGTAGGCGTTTTGGTCATGTACTGTTATGGTGAGAGATTATTACACTCCAATGGATAGACAATTTTCGCTGCGATTGTTTGCTATGAGTTTCAAGAAATGTCACTGCTTTCTATCTTTGTGAAAACACATTTGTAGAATATGGGGCAGTCTTTCATATCACGGGATCTGAAATAGTTGATAATTAACTGTGGTGCTGCTTCGGTGGGGGTTGTTACGAAATAAGTTGGTTTTATCAAATGAATATGATAATGTAAATTGGACTCCTGAAAGGATTGCTGAAGCTGATGTTTCGAGCGTTAGTCCATCGTTGTAACAAAGAACTTGCGCACGAAACGTCAGCGTAAGGAACTTTTTACGGTGGCCAATTTACATGATAAAGCAACAAAAATTCTTTGAAAAAAAACCGTTTGAAAAAAACAAAACTTATGTGCTTTGTTCTTATGAAGGGTTGATCTAGATGTGCGAAACGAAATAAAACCCTCTGACTGGCATTTTGTGAAAAGACGAGCTAGGCAATTTGTGCTATTTTTGATAATCGGTGATGTTAAATACAGGCATTTGAGCGCTGAAGCAATTTTTGCTCAAAAAAAAAAGAACATTCGGCTTTATTTGAAAAAAACTAAGGTGGTTTCGATTTCTTTTAGACTAAGACTGCTTCCTTGCAACAATCTGAAAGAAATCGATTTTTGACCCGAAACGCACCGGACAGGTTTTTAGAGAGACTGCGTCTTAAGCAAAATTCACTCATTTTTGTTATTTCAGTCTAATATATAGATCATGCTGGTCAGTCGTGTGTATCACCCTCACCAAGGAAGCCAAATTTTTGCCAGGGCAGCGTTTATGGTTCATGGCATTCGCTTTGCTTCAATGAACAAAAGTAAAACAAACAAAGAGATCTTTGAACCATTGCCAAGAGAAGAACTTGTTACTAAATTCAAGTCGAAATTACGTGACAGAGAGTTTACACCAGGTTCCACACAAGGTGGTTTCCCAGAGTTCTTAGCGGAACCAAGAGATTCCCTTCCACTTGGTGTACGCGTCCACAATCCTAACCAGGCCTCTCTCGCTCAACTGACCGCAAAGTGTATGGAATTCATGGAAGAAAATCATTCACAATGTCCAGCTATTTTGTTTCGTGGCCTTCCGGCTCGAACAGCCAATGACTTCTCGACTATTGCTGGTAACATTCCCGGAAAGCCTTTGTCGTATGAGGTCGGTGGCAGTACATATCGTAAACAAGTTGACAAAAGTGTGAAGACTTATACCGCTAGCGACGATCCATTAGAGGTTACTATGGATACGCACAACGAGATGTCTTATCTCAATACTTGGCCCAAAAAGGTTCGTTGTCGTGAGAGATATTGTTTTTGCAGTTGTTGTCGTGTTTTGTTGTTGTTGTTATTGTCATTGCCATGTTGCGTGACGAGACTAAAGAACAGCTTGAAAGGAGGCCACTCTCCCTCATAGACTTAATTTATAGACTTATATTGGGCAATTATCAAGATAAGAATTTTCAATTTTCAATTCAATTTTCAATTTTTCCTCCCTTATGCATCTCTGACCGTGCGGAAACATTGCAACACGATTGACTGGGTACCACCTTGTCCCCAAATATTTGCGTGGGTCGTTACCATGTCCTCTCATTGTTATCTTTCTTTAGCTTTTCTTTTACAGCGTAAAGGAGGCTGACGATAATTGTGGTGGTGAAACACCGTTGGTCAAGAACAGCGAACTCCTTTCCAAATTGGATCCCGAAGTAGTGGCGAAGTTTGAAGAAAAGGGTGTGCGATATGTACGATATTTGCGGGACAAATCCCACGATGAATACATGAATTGGCAACACATGTTTGGCACTGAAGATAAAAAGGTACGATTTGCGACTCTTTGGTATTGAATTCAGAAAGGCGTGCTCAAAAAAGATTCCTGCCCTCGTAGGCTGAATAAGTTATAAGGAACTACTTCCTAATCTAAATTTGTCAGTACTCTATGAACGACGCTAACTACTCCCGGCTTATATCGACATGTGTCAGACCACGAATTAGGTAAGCCACTCGTCTATTTTGACCTGTCAGTCCAACATTCCAAGCCCTAAGACTTGAGCACCCTGAAGGCAAAAATAAATCACGCCTAATTCTTGTTTTACAAAGAGAAAATTGCAAAGAGGGAACAAAGTAGGATGAGTCTTAAGGAACACTATTCAAAGTGCAAACTCTCCTTACGCGCTGCCTTGATAAGTAGTCCATATAAACTCTATTTTTAACCGGCAAGAGGTTCCCATAAGTACAGGATATTGTCCCTGTTATTTTGTCGCTGTTATTTTCCCAGTGGACTTCTCCTCTTCGCTCTTGTATTAAAACGCCAAAAGTACTTTGTCAATATCCAATCATTTTGACCTCGCGCTTTGATTAATGACGAAATTTTTCAGGAAGCAGAGAGGCGAGCAAAAGGTAAAGGGTACCACCTGAGCTGGAATGAAACACAAGACTTACGTCTCTGGCAAAACAGACCCGTGTCGATACAGCACCCGCAGACCGGAAATAAGATTTGGTTCAATCAGATAGCGGCCATGCACAGCTCTTATTACCAAATTATGCCCACGTTTATTGGTAAAGGTATCCCGGATGACGAATGCCCTTCCAACACATATTATGGAGACGGAAGTCCGATTGAACCGGAAGTAATACAACACATACGAGCAACAACCTGGTCATGCGCAGTTGGTTTTCAGTGGCGAGCAGGAGACCTACTGGCATTGGATAACTTAGCCGTTCAGCATGGACGCATTGGTTATAGTGGTGAGAGAAAAGTACTCGCTTACCTCACTTGCTAGAGTGAAACTTAATTGGATGTTTGCATGTTGGCTAGAGTGTCTCAAGGGACCAATCCAAGACGTTTAACTATAACATTCAATTAATTTTGAAAACCTGTGTAGTCTTTGTATAGTTTCCAGTTCAGCTTATGACTAGTTAATCAGACACTGACATCAATCTAACAAGATGATAGAGCTAGTGAACCATATGTGGTATCAAGTAACTATAGGCCTTATCTGCGCTTTAGACCCAACATTGGCTTCGTTCTAAGGCTATGATGAAAGTTTGAACGGAAATAAAAATTATTTTCTTTTGAAATATTTTCCTTGGAGTGATCAGATAACTGAGCCGATTAAAAAAAAGTCGTGTTGGGAACCTATCCTAGACATTATTTCATAAGTCACGATGAATTTCATTTTCTAATCTATCTGTAGCCATTGACCCAGCACACTTTTATGCAAAGTCCGTAAATGAAGTCGAATTAAAGAACAAAATGCGTAGAAATTGGGATTTTTTATTTCGCCGACGTGTGGATTTTTTTCCTTTTTCCTCCAGTTGAGCTCCAACGGACGTGAATCTAGAGAGCTCCAATTGAATATTGCGAAAGCAAAAGGACTGAGAGATTGGGGAAGGCCCATTTAGAATCAAAGTTAGGGCCCTTGGTTTCCATTTAGAATGTTACCTCTTCACCCATTCCGCATTGTTCCCTTCCCTCCTACAGAACGAAAACGAACAACTTTAAATTATTTTCATATATTTCCACTTAATGTCGATGCACGAAAGCATAGAAAATACATCCATTTTTTTCTCATATAAATCTCACGATTATACCAATTGCATGCAAAATTTTCAAGGATGCACAGAAATACTGTTACGTTTCATTCATTTTGCTAATATTTCGCAGAGTAAGTCCTCCTGCAAAACCTTAACCATTGTAGAGGAGGATCGAAACTGTATTAGATGATCCACGAGTTGTGATAGTACCAGTGCGGTTGAAACGATTATCTCCCCTTGTTTCAAAACGTTTCTCAAATCTGGAGTTATTCACCCTGCATTGAAAAGTAGGAAACACTTTCATTATCAAATCGCCCAATAAAAGATGACAGGGAAAATCTGAGGAAATTATGGAAATACCTTGGAAGGTAATCGCATTATCTGACAATTGTTAATGCGTGATGAGTATCCCAGCATTATGGCGTTGGTGATAATCATGGAATGCGTCAGGTTCCAAGACCTCCTAAATTTTGTTTAGCTTGTTTTTCGGTGAAATGTTTGAATAATCAACAATAAAAATGGAAAAAGTCACGGGTTTTGCAACTTTACCAAAAACTTTATTATAACGTTTTAGTTACGATAGAATATCACTGACCATTTACTCTGAGTGTCTCCCTGACTACTGGCTGCTAAAGCTTTTCCTCTCGTGGTTTCTAGGGTGCGAAAGGTGCTTTCCTGTAGATGATATGAACAAAAATGAATTGCATGTTTAAAAAACATGCGTGCCACAATTTCCGCCTTGTTAATTAAATCTAAACACTTAAAAAATATAGCTTAACAGCAGAATTTAGTTAGTTTTCGTGTTAATCGTCTCGCGCTTTCGGATCGTTCTTATTCGCTCTTGCGTCTTGCACTTAGCAATGAAAATATCCTACCTCACATGACGACTCAGAAGACTTGTTTTCGAGCCCATTGTGCAATAACTCAATCCTGAACTGCTTTTGATTCTCCTTTGTCAGCTTGGCTATCTCACGTTCTGCTGAACCAATCGTCAACTGAAGCGAACTCGACTCTTCATTTCCCCCATGCCGTGTCTCCTTTAATAGGTCAAGTTCTCGTGATACTTTTCCTTTAAAGGCTGCTAAGTTTTCCTCTTGCTCTTCCTTTTCATCTTCAAGTACAGAGATCCGAGCCGCAGCCTCCCGAAGGTCCATCTTCATATCCCAAAACTGTTTACTTTTGGTATTGAATTCTTTCAAACCCATCTTCACTTCCACCTGTAGAGCTTTCTGTTTTCTTTCTGCGAAAAACCTCTCGTATTCCAAGCGCGATGTGGCAGCTAACACTGCTCTGTGAAGGTTACACTTCTCCTCCTTGCTACATACAAGTTGAGTTGACAAGCGTTTCAATTCGTCATGCATCTCTTCTGCATCTCGGGTTTTTCTCACTGCACAATTCTTAAGGTTAGCACATTGTTCATTTTGCTTCTCGATGATGGATGCAGTAATATCTAACTCTTTTTTTACTTCTCTAAGGGTGGTCTCGATGCGAGTTAGCTCTAAGCTTTTCTCCTTGTTTTCTTGTGTTAATTCGTCAATCTCTTTGTTCCTTAAACATAATTTGGCCTCCATAGTTGTGAGAAGCGAGCATTTCAATCGTAGGGTTTCATTTGCGTCAACAAACCCGACTTCCTTTTCTTTTAAATACTTTTGCGTCTTTTGAAGATCTTCCTCCAGTTGTTTGGCAATTGTTTCGAGCATTCTTACTTTCTCATCCTTGTCTCCCAGACACCGTTTGAGGTGAGCATTTTCGCATTGAATATCTTCAAGCAGCCGTCGCATGAACGAGCATTCGTTAGCACTGTCTTGAGAACAACTCCTTAAGTATTTCACGGATTCTTCTCTATCATTCAAATCTTTTCTCAATTTTTCCACAACACTAGCTGTATAGGCTTCCGTCTTCTTCATTATCAGGCTCGATGCGTACACTTCTCTTTGTCTTTGAACCAAGTTCCTCAGCCCTTTTCCCACCTGTGCCATTAGGCAACCCGTCTGTTCTGCTTTTCTGATGGTCTCTTTTTTAACGAGCTTCAGGCGATTATGTTCTATTCCCTGTGGGGACAGCAAATTGTCATTCTCAAAATTCCTATGAGCCAGGAGCTCTCTGGCGATTTCAACCTCCTTTCTAAGCTTTGTCAAGTTAATGTTGAGTTTTTCAACCTTTTCCTTGTAATCATAAACTAACTCTTTCAGTTTGTCCACTTCGTTATCTTTCTCAGCCAATAGCTCCCTCTGCTTCTGAGCATTAGATTTAGTTGTTTCCATCGCCTTTCTAAGACTTCGTTTCTTAGACCTTTCCCTTTGGAGCTCTTTCTTTAATTTCTTGACTTTGTTGTCTTTTCTCTCAATTCCATTGTGCATTGCATTCAATTTCTGCTCTTTAGCCTCAAGAGATTCTTGTGCCCTGTCGTGCCTCTCATTCATTAATCGTAGCTTCTTCTCTGTTTTCTCCAATAGTAATCTCTCCCCTTTAGAGGTATTCTCTCCAGCATCGACTTTCTTCTTGAAATACTCTTTGTCCGACTTTTCTCGTGCTATTTCTCGTGTTAATTCTTTGATCTTATTACGAGCCTCTTCTAACGACCATTCTTTTCCCTGAAGAGACCGTAAAGTATTTTCCCGTAGATCATCCATCTCTTGTAGTTGGTTCTCTAGTTTTTCAATTTTCTGAGTCAATCTGTTTCTTTCATTAGTATCATGCTCTGACGCCTTCAAGGCCCTTCTCAGATTCTCGTTATCCGACTTTTCCCGCTCCAACTGTTTGTGTAGCATATCGATAGTGCTATTAGCTTCCTGTAGTGACCTCTTGTTGTTGTTTAAAGTGAGAGTGGCATTTGTCAGGTCATCCTTCTTGCGTAACTGATTCTCTTGATTTTCAGTTATCTTCATAAGGTCTTTGTCTTCACAACAAGTACACTCTTTAGCTTCTATGACCCTTTTTAAACGCTCTTTTTCTGAACGTTGTTTCCTCACTTCGAGCACCAAGGCATCAATTCGGTGAACTGTGCTTCTTTTCATTTCTTCCATTCTTTGCAACTGAGTCTCAAGTTCTCCTATTCTTTCAGACTGTAATACGCGGCGGTCCTTGTCACATCTTTCCTGCCTTATCTCTTCGAGTAAATTTTTTATCGTCTCATCTTGCTCCTTGATACAGCAGTTAGCTTCCTCCACCTCCTTTGCTTTACTTTTCATGAAAGCCTCCGCCGCCTCAGTTAGATTTTTCAACTGAACCTTAAGTTCCTCAGTTCTTTCTTTCTGCCATCTCAAAGTTCCTTCGGTCTGCTCTATGTCCTGCTTGCTCTGTTGGCTTTTCATCTGGAGCATTTCTTCCTTTTCCTTCAAGCAGCGTTCTAAAATATCTGTTTTCTCTGTCTTCAATCTCAAAGCACTGTTTGTATGTTCCAAAGTACGTTCCGTCTGCTGCAGAGTTTGTCGGAGATCTCTGATGGTTTTTTCCGTTTCTTGCACTTTATATTTTTTACCTTCGTCCAGCCTGACTTCTCGAGAAAGATGCAAAGTGTCCGTTGCACTCACTTCCTCGTCGCCTGTACTTGTTACATCTCCATCAACAACGCTTGTTAGCCTTTCTCCAAAGTCAAGACCCCTTTGTCGAAGGAACTTCCTTAATATAACAAGTTCTCGTTCAGATCGACGGACGCGTTTCTTTAAAACTTTGATTTCAGGGCTTTTCTTTTTCTGGCCTCCACTTAAACACTTTTCATCTTGAGCGAATTCACAGCTATCATTATGAACACTTTCCAAATCTTTCGCAGAACGATTTTTAGTTTTCATTAACTCTTCTTTAAGAGCGCTATTGTTACAGCTTAAGGCCACCAGTTGTTCTCTCAGTTCTTTGAGCTTGTCATTCGTTTCGGATGCCTTTGCGGATAGTCTCGCGGTCAAAGTGGAGTTTTCGCGACTTAAGTCTGTGATTTCACCTTCAAGTTTTCTTTCAATCTTCCATTTTTCACATCTTAACTCATACAACTGGTTATTTTTGTCTGATTCCTTTGCTGATAGTTCCGAGGACAATATGGACTTTTCCCTTTGCAACTTCGCAATTTCATCATTAAGATCGCCAATCGTTTTTGTTGTTTCATATTTTAGCTCGTTTAACTGTGTCTTGTGTTCTGATTTCTCCGACAATTTCACGGCTATGGTTAAGTTTTCTTTCAGAAGTCTCGAAATTTTATTTTCAAGTTGACGCACAACACCAAACGTCTCTTCTTTAATCCCATTCCAACGGTTATTCTCGTCTGATGAAGCTCGCAGATCTGTCATAGAGTGTTCTTTCTTGAGCCTAGCAAGCTCATCTTCAAACTGCCTCATCATGTTCGACACTTGGCCGTTTGCTTTCTTCAAAGATTCATTTTCCACCAGTGCCTGTGATAGTTCTGATGTTAGCATATAATTTTCTTGGCCTAACTCAACTTTTACTTTCCTGAGATGTTCAATAATGGTCGACGTTTCATCCTTCACTTCACCCACTTCATCGTCCTTCCCTGACACTTTTAACAATTCCGTAGCGAGCGCTGAATTTTCTCTGCTAAGTTTTGCAAGCTGATCTTCCAATTTGCTGACTACTCTCAAATTTTCGTCTTTAAGTTCTCTCAATTCTTTATCCTTTACTGCGTGCTGAGAAAATTGTCTAGCCTGTTGTCCTTCCAACAGAACTAATCGCTGTTCCTTCAATTCTAGGGATCCGTTTAATAATTCTACTTCTTCGCGTAGATGCCCGCACCCACCGCGACTATGTTCCATCCAATACTCCTTTTTCATTTCCTTTATCGTTTTCTTCAGCTCATCAACCTGAAACATCAGATCTTCATTGCTTTTTTGACTGTTCTTTAAGCTTTCCTCCAAGAAATCGACATCATCCCATAATTCTTTTATATCCCCCATAACCTTTTCCACGGTTTCATTTCCTTCTTCCCATTTTCGCTCCTTGCTCTGAATATCACGTTTTAAATTTGACAGTTCCCTTTCTTTGTATTCTTCCCTTAACTGCAGTCGCCTTACTTCATCTTTGCTCTCATCCAGGTCAGCCTGCAAATTTTCTATCCTCTTTTGGTACGTCTCAAGTTCCTCCTTAATGACGCTTATCTGTATTTCAAGCTCGGTATTTTCCTTTCTAATTTGTCCAAGTTTCACCACGTCGTTTTCTTTGTGGAACTTTGGTTCTACTTCAGTCATTTGAATTGCAAGTTTGAAATCTTTCACCGCGCCTTTAACGTTATCATTGAGTACATCAATACTGTTAAGTAGCCTAGTACCTGAGTCGATATCCCCGTGTACGGCGCAACGTCTATGTTTTATTCTCCTGTCAAGAAACTGTTCTCCCGCGTCTGTTAGCACTGAGTTTATGTGATTCAACTTGTCAAGGGCTATTCCAATGACGTATCTGTACTCAGCAACATCTTCTGATCGGTAGACATCTTTCGCCAAATATTTCCTTTTCTCCAGTTCGAGTTCTTCCTCTGAAGACTTTTCCGATTGCGATGTATACTCTTTCTTACTGTCAGGTAGAGTAGTTTCCAAAGCCTTAGAAAACTCTTGTTGGAATAAATACTCAGAAATATTTACGACTGCTGCTACCGATCGCTCGTAACTTGGTAAGGCACTGCATTCATTCTCAGCACTGTGTGAAATCTGAGACATGCTTTCCTCTGTTAGTATATCTTCCTCGACTTCATCAAGAAAACGGTCGAAGTCCTCAATAAACTCGTCCTCAATCGAATTTTCTTTGTCTGGAGAAAACTTTGCCATGTCATCGGAAACCTTCTTTCGTTTTTTGTCATTCAACGAATCAAAGTTGCATACTTTTGTTTTGTGTTGTTGTAAGACGGAGTCGCCTTTGTCATCAATCGAAGACAGACTTCCTTTTTTGTCATCAAACGAGGCATCTGAATATTTAACGAGGACCTCGGCCTCTTTCCAATAATTTTCTTTATTTTCAGTCATCTTTTGCTTCTCGCCAGCTTTGTCATCATTCTGAACGGAAGACGAGTTATCTGGAGTAGCTTTGGGTCTATCACTATGGACTGCATCGTCGGCGTTGTTACAGGACTTGTCTTCCTTTTCAGCCAATTCTTTTTCGAGTTGCTGAGGCTCC